ATTTTAAAATGATGGCCAATTAAGCAGCGTTTCTTCCAATTTCCTGCTTTGTCCCATTCACGCTGCTTGTTAAGTTTAAAGTTGGACAACCCACAGCTGCTTTTGACATTTCTGCTCGGAAAAACATCTTTAACTTCAGAAGCACTCCTCAGTAACACTCGCCTCTTCCTATTTTCCAGTCACTGGAGCAGATATTTGAGAAACAGTGAGGTTATCGGACCTTTGTCTACAGAAACAACAGGAACAAATACTCCATCCACCTTAATCACAGTAACACCAACAGTACGCTCTGCAACTTTGTAGCACAGAATAAATGATGGAAAGGAACGACTGAGTGTTTAGGAAGAAGATTACCCTAAATTTTTGCTACATGCTCTTAAGATTTATTAGACTTTGTTGTGTTTTGCTTGCTTTCATTTAAAATGGTTTGATTTGTGGTCTACTAAAGCTTGTGTAGCGTTACTTAAACTGCTCGTGTCTTTGATAAAAACGAGACCAGGCACTATCTGTTATCTGTTAAAGACAGAGGCCTTCGGGTGGTGGTGGTTAATTGAACACATTAATTGATACTTCTTCATGCTGCTGGCGTTCTTCGGTTAGGGTTCAAAGCAACAGACGACCTCATTTAAAACTGCAGTCAACTAATTATCCCGAGGTCCATTTGAGCGTACCTAAAGGCACCTCGCTTTCAGGTACGCAAAAAAAGCGCATTCATTTTAATTGGATAGAAATATTCCATTCGTTCAGATTACTTAATGATTTCAGCCTGATCCTTGTTTGTCAGCTAAAAATAAACAAAACAAACAAATAAACGGTGTATGTTTTAAGTGATTGGTGGAACTACTCAGGTAATCACAAGGCAGTGACTCAATGCATTTAGATAAGCAGACATGGTCACGACGACCCGCTGAAGGCTAAATTAAGCATCAGAACTGAGAATAACGGTTATTAAATGACCCTGAACGTGGCACGGGCTGGTCTGAGTGTTCCATCATGCAACAGTGCTGCAGCATTCAGATGGTAGCGTCAATTTGAATGTTGTTGCTGACCACGGGCATCATTTTAAGACCACAGTGTACCCATCTCCTGATGACTGCATCCAGCAGGATAACACAACATGTCACAAACCTCAAATCATCTCAAACTGGTTTCTTGAACAGGACAATGGGTTTAATGCATTCAGACGGCCTCCACAATCACCAATCTCATGAGATGAGAACATGAGATTCTCATCATGGATTTGCAGCAGCTGACAAAAGGGAGTCTAACCTGCTACGAAGAAGGTTTAACTAATGACAAACTGATTGTTTCTCACTCACTATGTGTTAATAGACTCTCTGCATTGA